TAGGGAAAGGAAGCCAAACTCACAGGCTCTGGGATGACGCCGCCTCTCCGAGAGCTGGTTACTCATCTGAGCAGCAGCTCTTCCCTCTTCAAGTTGTTGTGCACCCAGATTACATTCCTGGTGCCTAACAAGCAATAGCCTATGCTCAAAGATAGAGAAGACGCTTCTTAAACAGAGCTTAAGGAGAGCATTAATGAAGCTTGGCCCTGACTGTAAGGCATGCTTCAGGTTAACAGTGGTGATAAAAGAAAGAATTGAACTCTGCGTCTGCCCATCTCAGTCAAGAGGGCATTGCTCAAAGAGTAGTAAAAGACTACAAGGACTGGAGCTGAAGGAAGCCCCAAGGAACAACCCTTCTCTTTCACAAGACCAGCATACTCAGGAGCATTGGCTGTACTAGTACAATGATCCCTCTTTGCAAGCAGAAGCCCAAGTGTAGAGAAGTGACCGATTGATGTGGTTTTAACCCATGTATGGGGTGCAGAAAAGGGAGACTTTCCTCCTTGCATGATCCAGGTTGGGGAGAAGAGCTGGCAAAAGAACTCTGTGGGACTTCAAGTCTATCTTAGGGAGGAAGCCTGAGGACAAGCCTTTTCCTACATGAAAAGTCAGGATAAGGGATGACCAAATCTACTTCGGCCTGCTACTGCTTAAGGGTAAGTTCACTGATCCTTGATGGAAAGAAAAGGTAGCCAGAATCTGAGCTTGTGCTGATCCCAGATCACAACAGCACCCCATATGGCCATGGGGTCAAGCCCATATACACACAGAAAACCTCAAGGAGGCAGAGCTTCTAAATTATGTGTTGTCTTCAATAGCTTCTCAAATATATATGGTAACTGAGCAATAATCCCAAATGCATCTAGTTCGCTATTACCACTGCAAAATGCCTGCCCTGATACTTCTCCAAAATTCCTAAAGGCATTAAGCTGATTCTAGATATGCCTGAAGTTTGTACACCTCCTTCTTGCAAGATGCCCTGAAGCAAAAATACAAAGACAAAAACGAGAACAGGCAAGAGAACGATGCCAGGACATGAACTCTCAAGTGACTTGCTACCTGCTCTGGGCCTCATCTGCGATGAGGCCAGGCTGCTGCACTGAGCTGTCTGCATCACTCCTAACGTGGTCAACTCCTTTTGGGGTAACTAGATTTATCCCTTGGCACTTAAGGCAGAAGGCCACTCCAGAAATCAATTTGAACACAAATGGGATAATCAGGTTGAGTATCTCCTTGTAGTTGTAGTGGAAATACAATTAGAAATCTTGCATTTATCTGTAGAGCTACGCAAAAAGCATTTTCCATTTGGCACGCAACAGTAACCTGGGAAGACTCAGTCTCTCGTCTTGTCAGCTCTGTTATTTCAATTAAACACACTAAACTGTTGCATGTATTAAGACAGGCTAGAAAGACTGAACTATTGTGCTCATAGATAAAGGGAAAATTAGGAATGTAACATGGCCATATTTTCATGCTAGACTTGATTCTAACTTACATGAAACTCCTACCAGTTTGCAGGTGACCAGAACCTGGCCCCTATATTACTGTACTCATATTCATATGAGATACCTTTCAGCAAAAGGAAAGTAAAAAAAAAATCAAGTGTTTACTAAAATTCTGAATAAAATGGTACTTGGAACCAAGTGGTTTGTTTTCAATATTGTCCAAAGGCCATTACAGACTGACAAGTTTTTATATGTTGTACCTTGAACTGAGCTTCTGGAGGTCCAGTGATGATAACCATTCTCAGCTTGGCATCTGGTCCTTCAGCAGGGGCAATCTGGAATGGATAAACATAGCTTTTGGTAGCTGTCTTTTGAAGGAATACTTTAAAGCCACCTCCTCCCCATTTCAGTCTCACATTCTGTTCAAGAGTGAAAAATTATTCGTTACAGCAGCAGCAGCATTACACTTCAGTCATGACTGGTTTGTTCCCTTTAAAATGCATTAATTAGCTATAATGAAATATGGAGAAATTGGCTAAACCATAAGCAAATTTACTTCTGAAAATTAAAGGCATAGCTACTCATCCACATATGGCAAAATCCCACAAGCCATTTTCATGTGGCTATGAGTGATGCAAGACATGTAGCCTTCAAAAAGACAAGTATGGTTAATAGACCGAGATTCTCATCCCTACCCACTAACTTAAATAGTCTAACAAGTTTTGCTCATTAGCAAAAGTTTGCATCTGTCCCCCTGAGAACAGAAGATCACTTTACTGTTGTAACTAATCAGATCCAAAACATTCCTCTATACTGGACAATGAGTTCGCAGTTTCCAAGGGGTTTGTATCTACAGTCATTTATTTGTGTGACCCAAATAAAAATTAAGCTCCGCCAGAGCTGAGACAGAGACGCCTGTAGGGTCTTTAGCAGTTCATGTCACCACAAAAGTAAGATTTCTGTGGGTGTTGTTCTCAGACTCCAGTGGCATTAAATAATTCAAACTAGCCTCTGACATTCTAGATGAATCTTTTGTTTATCACAACTGACATTTCCATTGTTGCATCTAGTATTACATAGCCACTGTTGAATGGGCAATATATTAAACACTACAGGATTTCATCTTAGCTGTTGGCATAGGGATGTTATTCATATTTAACAGCTGTAGTTTATTTCAGACAAATTACGAGTCACCATGCATAATTTTCACTAAAGAATTTTGCTAACCAAAGTTTATATAATTATTCATATTGTACCCTAAGATGGAGAAGACATTACATACTAGTTATCTGGTTTACATATTTATTTTTCATACGATTTCTGCATTCCAGTTGGCTATATCTAAAAATACACATTCATTTTACAGCAGTACATTTATATGACATGACGTTGTGGTAAGGACAAGCACAGACTAAATCCATTCATTCTTTGGAACACAAGTGTTTTAGAGGGGCAAAATTTCGAGGCACATTTGGAGGCAGCTGACTGAACAGAGCTCAGCCTGATAATTGCCATTCATGTAAAATGGACATTGTAGTTTGCCTCTCAGTCACCTCATGTTTTCTTAGTGAGCACCAGTGCCTTTATTGAAATTTTAGGAAAAATATTTTCCCTCAAGCCTTCATTACATCTTACATGTGTTTAAATGTTCTGGGACATTTCTTGCTTTGCTTTTATCCTAGAATGTCCTGTTCTCAGCAGCTGGAGTAAAACGTGGCTGAGGGCTGTGAAAAAGGTGTAACGACCAACATTTCAACATCTGAAGGGGCAACCTAAGAGACTTCAGTGTTAATTTTGCCTGTCTGCTCTTGGAAGAAGTTATATACATACAAATAGTATCCAAGTAGTGAATTTTTAACTTCCGAGAGAAATAGTTTTACATTCCTAACCTGAAAATAACCAGTCCTCTATATGCCAAGTCAAAAGCTGACAACTTCATACACCCAAAACCTACAATGCTCACCCCAGCTCCTTCAGAGACAAGAAAGGCTACTCTGGGAATAAACAAGGACATGCCAAGGGTTCCCAACAGATCCCAGCACTGTAGTACAGGATGGGCAGCAGACAGCCCAGAAATCTCTGCCTGGCTCCTTTGCTGAATAATTCAGTCTGCTGGAGCCCCACATTGAGCCTGCATTACCAAGCAACAACCCCCAGCACAGGGACGCAACCTGAGCTCATCAACAGCCACATGCATCTCTGAAGTGATGGGCTGGACACCGCAGCCTTATGTGGAACCCCTGTGCACCTGCAGTTTATTTAGTCTTACTTCGTGGCTAACGAGTTTCGTCAGATCTACAAAGCTCAGCACAAGCACAAAGATGATGCATGGGGATGTAAAAAGTTTTCATCTGTAACAGTCTGCAGCACAACTCAAAAGTTCAGTGTCATGCACAAAGACTTTCTTCCTCCACAAAGTACAATTACTACAGTTTGGCAAGTTAAGAGTTACTCAGGCAGCTAACTTAGCTAAAAGCACAGATTCCTTGATGATTCACAAGTTATTATTTTGCTCAAAAGTTATGATAAAGGGCAGGTAGTCAACACAAGAGAAGTTCAGAAGTTTTGAATAAGTTAGTAGCAACTGTCGTATTTAACACTTCACTTTCACACAGAAGCAAGCGTGCTGCTCCATATTGTTCTGTCAGATTACAAATGAAGTTGTATTTTTATTGTAATTGATAAGCATACATGCTACTTTCCCATTTAGCAAGCATACCCTGTATCTGTACAGTTCTGTTAAGATTTAATCCTATTTCCACAAAAATCTTCTTTACTTTATTCCTACTGAAGGAACAAAAGACCAGAGCTTTAGCAAACTTTTAACTGAATTTCAATTAATACAGATATGCTAAATGTGTTGGGTAGACGGGTGCCAGCCAGTAGAGGAAGCCTGAGGCCACTGTTAGCCAGATGCGTGAGAAACATGGGAAACTCCCTTTCCACTAAACTGTCTTCCAAGGACCAACTAAAGAACTAGTTTGGACGGGTTCTTGGAGGTCCAGGTTATTTCACATTTCTCTCTCCACCTAGCAGTACCTTCCATATACCACTTAATCTTTAGATACAAACTATGGGAATGGAGAGAGGAAGAGGAAATACAAGTGATATATCACACCTCCATGCAGGACAGATTTGATAAAGAAAAATCAACACCTCTCGCTTTCTTCTATTCCATTTTTTCCCCCCTAAAAATATGATTATTACTGCTCTACTAATGTAGACCATCTGGGTAGTATAACAACTATTTAATGTACTGCTCAATAAAGGATGGAATTGGGCAGCATGCCAGTTGGTTGACTGGCCAGTAAATGGATCAGCATTCGGCAAACCACACACAAGACTCATTCATCAGGGTTCCCCAATTATTTTGCTCTGCACACTTAGAGGAACACCTTCCAAGCCAAGCCCAGCCTTACTGGCTTCACCAAGCTCAACTCAGCATAGCCAGCTCCTGCCCCTCTGCCCCAACCTTTGGCAGATCCCTGCCATAGCACTGACTAAACAGGCTACATCTCCTGAGCAAAAAGAGAACTGAGAAGAAAACATTTGCTTCATCTGTGCAGGAAAATATCAATCTAACAGCACATAACAAAATTACATACTGTTTGGCTTTGGTTTTTTTGTTGTTTTTTTTTTTTTTTAACTTTTTTCTTTTTTAATTTAGGCCAAAACATTATCTTTACAGCATAGAACAGCAGAACTTACTATTTACAAGAAAAAAGCTCAAGCATCTAGAAAAGATACTCGTGGTTGCAATGGCATTAGTAGCGGAAACCCAAGACCTTCCTACAACTGCAACTGGTACTAACCCCTATACACAGCCAACGAGGATTTCACCAAATTGACTAAAAGTCAAACTTAAGCTTCCATTAGGTCAACCTCTGCAAACCGTCTTGTTCTTAACTACATTGAGGCGGTCAACACACAAACAGCTGGATGTTAAAACAGAGGTAAACATGATGTTAAAGAACTGATCGACTCCAGGAGCTTGGAGTACATGGGTGATTTTAAAACATGAACACCTCAGTGTGAAGCCATCTGAGCTTGACAGCCCAGACTGATCCATCTGGAATAGAGCAAGAGTGGCCACAGACTTCACCTGTGATGCTGCTTTTAGAAGGGAAATTTACCTCACCAATTTTCACTTTACCAAAAACAAGAAGAAAGCCTTTAAGCACTGCATCATTAAGACTTAAGTCTGTTTCTAAGAAATCAAGACCACCAAAGTAGTTTTCTTTGCAGCTTATATTTCACACCTCAGGAGACGTTTGAAAACATGCTTCTAATTATCTTGTCTCAAGGAAGATTAAAAGATGATTTATAAACAAATGTACCATTTATCACATCACATTCTAAGCACAGAGTGGGGGAGGACATTCATGAAAACACGACTTGTGCAAACTTGCTGAAAGTGTCATGTAGAATAGACAGAAAGTTAGTCAGTGTAATAATACCTTAATAGATGCGCCTGCAAAACGAGAAAGTTGTTTGATGTGCTGTCCCTGCTTGCCAATAATAGCTCCAACTGCCAAGGCTGGGATGAACAGATGAACAGTCTCAGACTCGGGCTGTTGCTGTGGGGAAGAAGGAAATATGCAGTGAATGTTTTTGAACGTTACGAATCAGACTGACAGGAAAACGGGTACGGGACAGGCATGCATGGAAATGAGGGGGGAATCTTATGATGCCCTGTGATGTCTGAATCATAAGGGTCTGGCTTCTTCTGGGAATCACAAAATGCACAAAACATGAAAGAACAGTTTGAGCCAAAAGAGGATTCTTTCATCTTTTATAAAATACTTGAAATTTTAATGCTTAGAGTTTTCAAAAAAAAAAAAAAAAGAAATTTGAGGTGTTGCTTCTTTGCAAGGCTTTCGTTCTTACCTGTCACTGTCTGGATTTTCTTCCACATGCAAGACACTGCAGATGAGGCTGCTACAAGCAGAGGGGCTACAGCCTGAGCAGGCAAACTCTTTCTAGTCTTCCTAGTTATTTTTTTAATTTTAGATTGTGCTGAGAGCAGCACAAAAAGCCTCAGAGTTACATATATGCTACAATTTCCTTTGTGTGGGAGTGATCTGGAATGATAGCCAGCTTGAAAACTGCCAGCGATTCCTCCTGTGTAACATTATGCAACAGTTGGAGCCTTGGCAGCAGGCCTCAAGCAGGCTAGTAAATTAAACGCCAGATTAGGCATTCTTAAAAGTGAGAGGACCCTAACGTTGCACCCACTGGATATCAGGCACCACTGCAGCTTCATATTGCTTTCAAGCAGATGCCCCAGCTGGAGAGCACAACGTAACACTTGAGTTCCTCTCTACGTGCTACATAGTGATGATCAAACCGCAGGGTTGCATATGCCACTATAAGCCATAACTATTTTGCCAGCCTCAGAAGAGCTTGTCCTCGGACTAACGGAGCACCGCCGAGTACCCACTACGCCACCGTACCATCAATCCATCCACTTACGTCAGGGTTACTTCTCAAAAGCATTTCACCAAAAACCTGTCTTTGAACTAGGAGGTATTTAAGACCCTCCCCCCCCCCCCCCCCCCCCCACCACTTTTCTCCTTCTCTCACCTCTCT